TTGCGAAGCTCAGTTGGGCAACGGCTGGCTGGTGATTGCATGCTTTTTATTTGCTGCTTTCAAAAAAATTTTTGGCGTCAAAACATTGTAAATATCAAAGAAAGTAGATAATTGTTGCGTCCATTGCTATAGTCGTGATACATTAACATGCGTGTACTGTGTCCCAAACAGTTTGTTTCAGGGTGTAGTTTTATGGCTAGCAAATTGTGCTGATTGTTACTTCGGTAGTCGGTACCTTGGGGTAAGATGCCCCCTGTCCTGATGGGGAAAGACGCCCCCCTAAATCCGTAGGGTGTCCTTCAAGCAGCCCGTCAAATCATTTATTACATACTTGTGATGAGAGACAAAAGCCGATCTGGGTCTATTGAGAGTCCGGTACGGTCGTGGGTGCTCCCCATGCCGGTCTCTCGGCCCACACAGCGACTTTTTGGGCGGCATCTAACTCTGAGAGCCCTCACGACGGCCTCTGTGGGCCCCATTATTGGTTCCAGGGCCCCTCACGACATCCTTTGAGGGCTCCCACGTTGGCTCCACGGGCCGCGCTGGCATCTGAGGTCCCCACGATGGGCTTGAGGCCCTCAAGCATCATGAAGACCTATAAGGGCCCCACAATGGTCTCCGAACGCCACCACGGAGGCTTGTTTGGCCACGCTGGACTATGATGGCCCTAACGATGACCTCTGAAGCCCCTTACGACTACTTTTGAGGGCCCTTACGATGACGTTTGGTGTCTACTGCAGGCTCGAAGGGACTACTGATTCGTTCAGGCGATTCACGTGCCTATTTTTGTCACTTATAGTGCAGGGGGCATCTTACCCAACGCCAGGGGGCGTCTTTTCCACCCTGTGGGGTAAGATGCCCCCTTTCACTTCTTCAGGAAAATGCTTAATAGCAAAAAAAGTTATCATGTTTCAGGCACGAAAGTTTGATATTTTTGGAGAAAAATGATGTCGGCTTCCGTTGAAACTCCAAGTTTTGGCTTTCCGATCGTCATTTTCGAATAATATATGACATAGTCAAACCCTGGGCATCTTTCCCCACTCTCCCCTACTGCATACCCCATTAGGGCTGTCGAAGCTAAATATCACGGCGGAGGCCAGCCCGTCGTTATTGCGAGCTGTGTTAGAGGAGGCCGGGCTCCCGTTATTGTGATGTGTGCTGGCGGAGACCGGGCTCCCGTTATTGTGATGTGTGCTGGCGGAGGCCGGGCTCCTGTTATTGTGATATGTGCTGGCGGAGGCCGGGCTCCCGTTATTGTGATGTGTGTTAGAGGAGGCCGGGCTCCCGTTGTTGTGATGTGTGCTGGCGGAGGCCTGTCTGCTGTGATGCGCCATCTCCGCTGTCCGGGCGGCGCGGCACGCCGCGAGGGCAGACCGGCCGACCTCGGCAGACCGGAGCCGAGAGAGAGGCGCTCAGGGACGACCGGTCCCGAGTCGGGCGGACGGATGATCCGCCGACCGGCCAGCCTCTCCGTGCCCGGAGCTCGGCTCTCGGCGGCCAGCGTGCAGCGCACCTGTCCGACATCCACGACGGCGCAATTCAGCCACGGGAGATAATAGAAAATTCAGCCGTATCCAGTTGTGAAAACCAGACTAGATTACCAACTATCAGCCATCCAACGAACTTGCCACTTATCCATTCCTCCGTAAGAGAGATTCGGAACTGGCAATGTAAGGCACCGAAGATGGCATATTGCACTTATCGGTAACTATAAAGTGTCCTATCATGAAGAATCAGAGTGGCTGATCGGAGAGGCGGAAACTTCCACGAACGATTCAGCCGTTCCAGCGGCATTGTCATTGAGAGAAATAGAATGTGGCCTGTGGCTCTGTCGTCTGACCGCCGTCCTTGGTGACCCTGCCCACGAGGTCAGGACGCTCGGTGGGAACCAGCGGGCTATTCAGTGAGCACAGAGGGGCGTTTTACTCGCGGTGGGAACTTGGGCCATTTAGCGAGTACAGCGAGACGCTGACAAACTGCAGAGAGTACTCATCGGGTACAGACGCTATTCAGACATTTTTAGCCGGCAAAGTGCGACTGCACACTGTTCACAATGCTTCGTTTAGCGGACAGCAGCCCGTCCAGTAAGCGCAGAGGCCGCTCTGCGAAGGCAGCCGGCTCCCCTACGCACGACTTCTCCCACAGTCCCTGACGGTCACGCTCGTGCCCGCTGTGTCCCGCCACCCTGTGAAAAACTCGTATGGCCTTCACCACCACTGGAAGGCGTGCAGCAAGGAGCGGGAGAAACTGGGAGCCTATGTGCGCATGTATGGTCTGCCTGGGTGTGGCAACAAGTGGTGGCATCCCACAGGCAGGGCGCATCGGGGCCGACAGCAGATGAGAGTCCTTGTCACACGAGACGGACAGCGCCTCTGCTGCCTCCTCACACGAAGGCTTCCCGGCTGGTCGCGGACACGACGGGAAGAGCCGTGACGTGGACATAACTGAGCCGTGAACCTGTGACGTTCGTGTGGGAAGGGAGAGACGCCGGTGGGAGATACCTAACGAGCGTTACTGGGAGTACCGCGGCGCGTTATGACTGCCTGTCAACCGGGTGTGCGAGGAACATTCACTTTCTATCGATCTCGGAGATCACCGGAGTGCGGCAGTGGATGATATGACATAGGTAGGATGATGTTAGGATAGGAGATACCGCAGTGATGAGAGCGGAGTTGGACTTTTAGCGCTGACCGGCGCGCCCTGTGGTCAGCTCCCGGGGATCAGGCAGCTCGGTGACGGAGTCCGAGTCGCCCCGACGGCGCAGACTGGTACAGAGGGACGCCCACTCCGACTCCGCCCCGGGCCGGCGGCCAGTTCACCTTGAATTGCGGCTCTTCCGGCAGGTCGGAGACGGCGTCGGTAGCCAGAGCAAGGAGTCTCCAAAGGTAGAGACCGGAGACGGCGGCTCACGGGACCGATGTAAACATCGTCAGCACAGCCTACTGATGATGACAAGCCTTGGATAGGCGGCTCTGAGCAAAACAAAACATATTATTGCACATAGCGGAGCTGCTAAGCGGCGCTGCAAAGTGCCCAAGATGTGTTTTGCATACGCCCGGGGGCCGTAATGTCCGCACAACTTGAGCGTTTTGTGAGCAAACAGACCAGAGGGCCGAGCCAGCGAGTCAGGGGAGCGCGCCATATACGCCCGCCGCATTGGCAGTCGCACCTGTTCCGAGGCTGGACGAGGCAGTGCCGCCGCTCCCCCACGGCTGTTCTGGCGGCCGAAACGTCACGCTCCGTGCGTCCGTTTGCAGAGAACGTCCTGAACAATTGAGACGTCTACTGTGCCTCGTGGGGCCGGCGGCTTCTTTGCCGGTAGCGTGTTTTCTTTGCCGCCCGAGGCATTGTTATGTCGGGCGCTGTTCTAGGCTCTGGCATGGTGTGAGTGTGACACGGAAGTAGGTGATAGTACGAAGACGATACTGTTGAATTGTTTGCTACTGGCAGTAGCCCAACGACATTTTGTCCAAAACACGCATACATTATTTTTTCAGCCCCCCTCTCTCTCTCTTTCTCTCTATTTCTCTCTCTTCTCTCTCTCTCTCTCTCTCTCTCTCTCTCTCTCTCTCTCTCTCTCTCTCTCTCAAACACGCATGGCGTGGCGACTGCAACGCACCGACTACAATACCACCAAAGCGCCGTGATTTGAGACTGTACCGCATGGCGTGGCGACTGCAACGCACCGACTACAATGCCACCAGAGCGCCGTGGTTTGAGACTGTACCGCACAGCATGAAGACTGCAACGCACCATCTACAATACCACCAGCCGCCGTGATTAGAGACTGTACCGCACGGCGCGGAGACTGCGAGCCTGCACACAAAGACAGCCGGAGGGCTTATCGCGGCCTTGGACGAGGCTCTCCGGTCCAGTAAAAGGCGGTCGGCGGCGCGGCGCGGCAGCGGCTGCACTGAACCCTGCCGACTCCACCGGCCTCAGCAAGCCTTTACAACCGCTCACAGGTCTCTCTAGTTGTTCACGGGTCTCTACAGTCCATCTTGCTGCATATCCTCGGCATCAGGATGCCCCTTATGTATGCCCCAACCGGGCTCCGCAAGCTCCCACTAGCCTTACCGGGACCAATTGCCGACCTCTTTACAGACAGACCTTCACCAGAAAATCTCAGCAGGTCTCATCGGTAGACAGTCCTACTCTACATTCAGGCATTCACCGACCGGGCTATACTCTACCGCAGCTAACGGCCTTATCGTGCTCTAGCGCAGCTGATGCCTTATCGCCAGTCGAACCCTATTCATGGCGTCAGCTGAAAGGCGGCGCTGATAGCGAGCGTCTTGTGATGCAAAACCCGTAAAAGGGAGCGGAAGGCTGGGACAAGTCTGTTTTCCAAACAGCTTGTCGGGCTCATATAGAGGTAATGGCGTGGCGGGTGCTCAGCCGTGCTCACTGAGACATTTACTGACATGTTGAGGTAGAGATATACTGGGGCACGACCGACAAGATGAGTCGTTTTAAGGGACAACGCGCCGAGCGGAGAAGCATACCTTCTGATCCCCGTGACAATTGCGATTGCATGACGTGGGACGGACTGGCAGCGCAGAGCCGACTCACGACTGGGGACTGAGCATGTCGCAAGACGCCCTCCCCCAGGTCGTGCGGCCTCCCACGGCGGCCTGTGCCGTGGGGCCCATGGTCTGACCCTCAGCTCAGCCTCCACTGCACACCTCTTTCTTGGAGGTCACTTTGGCAGCATTCATCCCTCTTAAGTCACTAGGAATGCTAGCATAAAAAGTTTGGAAAAGCGTAATGATTCGGGTAGCATAAATCATAGCAGTCGAGTGAACTAAAATATGTTGCCTTATACATATAATGTTGTTTTTATGATACAGTTGTTTGGAGCGTCGTCAAAAGGGAATAAGCGTTTCTCTCAATTGCTTACCTATACAAGTTAGGTATACACTGCCTGGCGCCTGCCACCCGTCTACGAAAAAAAACGTACCTATCCGCTGAAATTTCACTCCAATCCTCATTCCACTCACCTTGCTGGGGTGATCCAAACGAGCAGACGGCCAGCAGGGCCAGCGAGAGGCCGATCCAACGCACCATCGGGGACATTCTAAAACGACCAGTGACTATACCGGTGGGACACACACAAACACTACGGACACTGGTGACTGTGCGCGCGCTGGCTCGCTCACATGTTCCGTGCGGAGCTCGGTCGCGGTGGGCACACTCTCGCTCTCGGTCCGCACGGGCTCCCCGCTCGCCGGACACTGCTGCCGCCCCTGACCGCCAAACGCCGCCGGAGCCTTTTACTTGGCCGTCGGCGGCGGCGCCCGTCGGCACGCCCGCTCGTCCTGCGGCGCGGCTGCGCGCCGGCGTGCCGGCGCCGGCCATCAGAGAAACCGTGAATCACCCGCTCAGGGAGCGCCGGGGGCTGGGCGCGCCGGCACCGGTGTCGAAACGGACGGAGGTCGTCGAGTGAGCGGAGATGTGTGCGGGTGCTCGCCGACGCGCAAAGGATGGAATCCTGCGGCGGAGGGAAATGGCGTGTGGAGCTGCCGGCAGGACCCGAGGCTAGGCCGGCGGGGCTCGAGGGCTGAGGCTGGGCCGCCGGCCGCCGGGAGCCCCACCGTGTGACGCGTGGCGGCGTCCAATGTTTTATGTGAGCATCGGATAATAACTGACATGTTCATTGGGTGAGATAAGACCAATCACTGCGCTGAGCGTTCTTCTGGCTTCGGCTGGAGTATTACATACTTACAGAAATTGCGCTGGATGGTCAACGTTCAAAATCAATTTTCAAAATTGGTGTGTAAGTGGGTTCTCATAATAAGAAAACCCTAATAAATAATAATCTTAACAAAATCTTTACCTATGTATCTAACACGAAATGAATCTCAAGCCGTTTTGTAAAGCGATCATTCTCCATTCACGTCATGTGACGATGCTTTTGTGGTATACCTAAAAACGCAGTTGTTCCTTCGTTTCCCAGTCATACCTACTAAGGAATAAAATGACCGACTGGGGATATCTGAAAAATATGAACCTAAAGTATGGTCCAAGAAGACACTTTATATAATTATGATAGCTTGCATGCAACAGTAATGGAGCGTTTCATGCAATGACATTCCATTTCATTGGTCGGTTATCGCATACAGATTACAGATATCTCATATTTTCCTCTCATCAATAGATGAAGGTAATGCCTTTAACTGGAAACAATATTTATTTTCATATTTCAATAGCATTAACAAGATAAAATACTAAATTGAATAGTAATTCCTTACGTCTAACGTCAGGGTAGCGCGCTGCGGCGCTGAGTTTCACGGTAGAGGCACTGAAACTGCGTGAATTCCAGTTGCCAGTCGTGCACCGACTCAACCAACGCGGACAGCTTTTACATCCAAAGTGTCCCATCTCTGAATGCGTCATCAGAGGCGAACATGATGGCTCCAATAGGAAGGTATACTCCCTGAAGCACAGCCAGACCACTTTGTGACTGATGTGAGACAGCTGGTTGCGGGCACGTGATATTTCGTGGCGGCCGCGGTGTTTCGAGCTCCGAATCACAGCGTTAGGTAACAGCAAGGCGCCAACAGTGTGGGAGAGTCGGGCCCGTCACGGCGCTACACAGCGCAGCGAGGTGGCCTCACTCCACACACGCCGCCACTGCGCGGTGCAGTGCTGCTGCCGCTGCTGCTGCTACTGCCCGTCCCAGAACGGATCGGTACAGAAAAGATGCATAGGTATACCTAGGTACTGCAGCCACGAACAGCGCCGTGTTGTGTAGCACGACCGACCATATCTAATATGGTCTTTTAGCAAAAAAAAAGATAAAATAAATAAAACTGTGGGAAAGACCTCCAAACTTCCCTTTGCCCTGCCCTGCCAAGGCGTGGGTCTAGGTCCAAACTTAACTGGTTCATTTGACGTCCGTAGAGACGTGAAACAACAATGATCATCGATAGGTAAATCGTTTGCTTATTGCACCTAACCAAAAGAAGAAAGTGGGGTAAGATGGGCACCCTAACTTTGGAGCCGTTTTTCGGCCGGTCAGGAACAACATAGAGACGCGAAACTAAGTGTAAACCCCTTTTAGACATCTTACTTCCATTTGTCAGAAGATGAAACTTAGAGCTGATGCAACAAATAAACTGTATAGCTATTTTGATAAAATCTTGCAAAAAATCGTCTTACCCCACCCCATGGGTAAGACGGCCACGGCCACATGGGTAGGGTAAGACGGCCAGCTACTTTCACTGACCAGCACAGCTCGTAATTATGCCCGAGATTAGTCGCATTGATACAGTTGCTCGTTGGTCTCAAGTGCAGGGACGCGGGAACTATTTTCAGACTGGGGGCACACCATAATAGAGATCAACCTAGGGTACCCCGAAATATACTTTTCTCACCGGTTTTAAGTGCTTCGGGAAAGGCAGTATACAAGATTCGTGCAGAAGGCTTACTTATAAGCTCGTACATAGGCCCGTTCAGAAGCCTTATAAAGCCGTCTTTCATACTCATTATTTGAGATAAACTGTACTGAAGGAATAGATATTGCTAACAGGTCTGATGAGTATTGAAATCGACCATATTTTTACCAGAAATGTTTCTTTTTTCCTAGAGCAAAAAAAAAAATTATCAGTTACAGGCCCATTGGATCCATACTTGCCCGTCTTACCCCAAACTCAATGTCGGAAGTTAGCACGATTTTTCTCTGTGAACAATTTGATGCAGGCAAAGCAAATCCGCGGTACATGAACACTGGTGGCATATGAATGTACTACAAGTGATTACGAGTTTTTAACCCTATTTTGGTGGCTTTTAAGCCCCCCCAGGATTTTCTTGTGCCATTGCCAAACGCCGCGAGACTGAAAGCTCATACTCGGTGTATTTTTCTAAACATTCATTGCGCACATTTTGACAAAAAAAGTTGCCGGGTCAGGTCAGGTCAGGTCACCAGAGGCGGTTTGTTAATCCCACCTCTGAAAGTTTGCAATCAAGCCAGAGCAGAGTTTTTGACTGATCAATTTCTTCTCTTCAGGTTTTAGTTACAGGGTACCAGTATGTGTAATTTATATATCTCAGAATTTTTATATCTGTGACCTGAGGTCAGGCCAGACTTGTGACCTTTACATTGCAAACCCATGGGAAAATATTGGAATGCCTCCTGCTTTGTGTACCTAAACGAGTCAAAACCACCCAATTCTTTCAGTTTTATGGAAGATTATCTAATCTGTGAAGATCCTGGTGCCGCTTATTGACAGGGGCACCGGGAAAGGTTATCGGAGGTCATGCGACGTCATAAATCGTTTTTGTCAATAAATCACGACGTGATGGTGCTAAAGAATTGTAAGTGGTACCAAAGTGCTTGCCTGGTCAAGGCGCGTCGTTTGGTATGCAGCATGACCATACCCAGCAACCTCATTGGTGAATGACCTGACCTTGACCTCAGGTTAAATTTCAAATTGACCTGTGAAGGTCATCGCATACTTAATTCGAATCGCCTCGACGAGAGCAACAAAAATGTATTTATTTTAAATTTTTAAGTCTCTATGTTGCTTAGTTCAAAGTTATATAAGTAACTAATTCCAAAACATTTTATCGTTGATAACCTCTGGAGCTGGACTCTTGTGACCTCAATATTGACCTGACCCGAATTTTTTTTTTTTGTAAAAGTTGTAGATCTTTAAGCGGCCTATCAAACGCCGTTTGCCGTTTGTCGCTCCGATGTGTGGTTTTTGATATATGAAGGGGGGGGGGGGCGAAAAGGCCCCCGCCCAGAATCGAGCCTTTCAGAGCCCGCCCGGAATGGGGTTAACTCCATAACGCTGCACACAAAAGCTTGTACAATACACTATGGGTGTTTTCAATGAAATGGGTGCTTTTAAAGAAATCGAAATAGAAGATTATTTACTGAACATACATTCACCAGGCTTCAATGGTGGTGTGTGGTGGGAAATGCAACTCTGGTCCTAATTTTTCTCGCCCGTAGCGCTAGGTATTGGTTTGGTCTGCAGAGGGGGTGCCCATGCCCATCTTACCTACCCTGACCCTAGTAGCACACAACATTGGTACAACATTGAGATATGTTGAAATCAGGTTGATTGTCAATATTGGTGCTTCAACACGAATTCAACATTGATTCAACGTTGATATCACGTTGATATTTGGTTGTGCTTTGTCGAATCTTGGTTGAAGTTCAACATTGTAGTTCAACATCGATACAACATTGTCCCAATGTTGAGTTCACAATATCGACAGAGGTAGAATTTCAACGTTGTGATTCAACATTGATACAACATTGTCACGATGTTGATTTCACAATATTGATAAAAGTAGAGTTCCATTGTGATTTAATTACTATATTGCCCCGCAGTTGCGTTGACACTTGACAGCATTAAAGGGGGCAAATGCCCCCTCGGGTGTAAGGGGTCCCATGGGCTGGCTCGACAGGTCCTAAGGCGTCTATCGGACTTTAAGGGTGGGATCACTGAGGTTCCAAATAGACGAATATGGTCGCATAGATATAGTACCTATTGGTATGTTATATAGGCATACACGTCTTGAATATGATATATAGAGAGTTATAAAGTGAATGGATCCTTAAATAAAGATAGCTCCACTTAATAAAATCCTTTTATAACATCCTCAACCTACGTTGAATTAAGCAGCATTATTGTATCGGCATGATTTTATTCGGGTGCCACTGCACCGGTGCCATTCAAGTATCACGTTAGTTAGTGCCTTGGTCCCCTCCCACCAGTCGTGCGGTGTGCTCTTTCAGAGACCGTACCGACTGGAATCTAGCGACCGCTGGCCGTTTTGAAGACTGTACGCGGCCGGCAGCGGGCGGTCCCATCCTCGCCTCCGGCTAGAGAGGGGGAGACCGCGACAGGGGACCGCGCGTCCCCCGTCCCGTTGTGCCGGCTCGCAGAGTGCGGACGGGTGTGTTGAGTGTGTTGTGTCCAGTGTCGTCTGGCGTCTCCTCTTTCGATCCGACCATGTAGCCGTTTCCGCCAGTTTCTGCTGTGTGACAATCAGTGCATTTATCCTAGTTATTAGGGTGTGTCGATAGTCGCAGATTCGCGTTAGACAAAGATATAAATTGGCGCGAGCATGCCAAAACACTAGCCCTGCAGTTGGTTTTGCGTAAAAATGCGATTTGACGAGGCTCGGGCAGGTCGAAGTTACAGCGAAAAAGTCGCAGTCGACGGTGCTGCCACCTACATTGCCAATAACGGGCACTATCATATCGTGATAATTGGGGTAGTTTCAAATGAGAAATGACTTCTATTTTTGTTCAAACTGCTTAAGAAAAAATAAAACTTTTCGGAAACACACATTTTTCCCAAATATCGCGTTCCATTTT